CCTCCGCATTCGGGGAAAGCTTCTTGTCGCTGGGTACCCAGGCTTTCACAGTAGCGCCACATCTGGTTTCTCTGTGTTAATCCAGTCTTCCTAGTACTGTATCTGAAATAGAGTTAGCATATTACTTCTGCTATTAGGTAGCTACTTACTGGACCATTAGGTTTCTTAACAGTTTGGTTCAGCTGAAGATTGAAGTAAAACTTTATAGTGTTTTCTCCCTGCCTAAAGCCTATAGTTAGTAAATTCTAGTTAAGTATAAACTAATTTCATCTCACATATTAGAATTTGAATGTCTTGGTGACTTTCATGAGTATCAGTATCATAATAATAGTGCTCATCTTTTACTTAGAGAACTTTTAGTATTTAAAATGCTTTTTCTTTTAATGTCAGAGTACCTTTGTGTAAAATCTGTATCAAAATTCATGTGGCATCCTTATCAATTTGATTCGTTGAAAAACCAATTTCTGTCTATAGTATTTCTATAATAGCTTTCCTATCCATATCATAGTTACCATTTGTACTATTCTCACCACTAATAAGCTTTGTAATGAGTTCGTTACAGATGTCCCGTGTGGCTGACACCATGTTAAACCCTGTGCTAAACATCACTGTGGTGGTGAATGTATGGATTGTAATTCGTGTGCCTATGGAGCTTACAGAGCAGTGAGGCCATGGGCTGGGCTGTCACAACTCAGTGGTAGATCACTTGCCTGGCCTCTGCAAGGCCCTGGGTTCGTTCCACAGTACTGAAAGAAAAGAACAACAAGGATGACAACAGCAACAGCAATGACAATGAAAACAGCAATGACAATGACAACAAAATGCTATTACCAGAATTAAGTAGTGAGATTTGTGCAAATTTTAGGGCCCATAATACTGTAATAGCTTCACTGGGCTTCTAACCTGCAGATTTATCCCTCACCACTGACTTATAGCTAGAGTAAGCTTTTTTTGTTTTGTTTTGTTGTTTTTTTTTTGAGACAGGGTATTGCTGTATATTCCAGGCTTGCCTTGAACTCACTATGGAGCCCAGGCTGGCCTCGAACTCACAGCTGAACCCAGTGAAGTCTAGGTGAGGGAGTCCATCTATTGTATTTCCATGTGTCTTGAGACTTTCTTCATATTCCATGGTAACTGTTTGTTCATATACTGTATAAGCTCCACTGGATAATTGAATTGTGTCTGTTTTATTATTTGCCTCAATACCCTAAACCTCCTATGTTATGGGTACAAAATAGAAACTTGGAAAGGCTACTCTTATACATTATTGTTATGAGATCAGATTTAATTTGAAAGCCATTTTAGTGAGAAGGAAGTTTGTAACATTTCTCATGATCACCACTTCGCACTGCACAATCACATAATTTGAATTGTGTTTGATGAGCATGCACAGCAGTGCTATAGTATTGTGACAGAACGCTGTTGAAAGATACTGGCTTGTGGAAAGTCCAGCTTTACTAAATATTACTTGACAGTTCTGGATGAAACCAGTAAGTAGGATGTGAAGAAGGTGCAATATGTATGGACTCCTTTTTTTCTTTTTCCAGTACTACGGATTGAGCCCAGGGCTTTTGTATTAAGTTACATCCTCAGCCCTTCTTCAGTTTTTAATTTTGAGACAGTCTTAGTAAGTTGTTAAGTTGTGCAGGCTGGTCTCAGTCTTGTGATCCTCCTGCCTCAACCTCCCAGAAAAAGCATGTGTGAGAGATGTTGCAGAGCATCTTCAGTGTGTTAGGTATTATGCTCTTGCATTACATATATGGTCTGTCAGTCTTTGTAGCTTTCTAATAAGAGCAGTTACTATCCATCGTTTACAGATGGAGAGACCGAGACCTTGAAAGGTGGTGTTGAGATTACAAAGAAGGGCCAGGTCTTACTGTAAGTTTAGTGTTCTTTCAATATTATTTTTGTTGTTATTGATTGAAGTGCAGTTTTATTATTTCTAGAGAGAGATAGCTGAAATTAGGGAAAATAGAGAAATACCTGAAATTGAAGTAACTAAGAGATGGCTGAATTTTTATCTTTAAGACTCCTGTTCGTTTGTTTGTTTGTTCGTTCTTTCTTTCTTTCTTTTTCTTTCTTTCTTCCTTCCTTCCTTTCTTCCTTTCTTCCTTTTTCTTCTTTTCTCTTTCTCTTTCTCTTTCTCTTTTTCTTTTTCTTTTTCTTCTTTCTTCTTTCTTTTCTGAGACAGGGTCTTGCTGTGTAGTCCAGGCTGGGCTTGAGCTCCCAGTGATCCTCCTGCCTCAGCCTCCCAAGTGCTGGGATTGTACACATGCACTCCTATGCCTGGCTGTAATTTTAAACCAGATTTTGATACAAATGAATTAAATTGCTGGTATTGTTCTGTTTTTAGAAGCATCTAGTCTTAGATGCAGTTTACTTCAAACAGCAGGTGATAATGTTGGAAGCATTAATAATGGATTATTGCTGGACACAGTGGTGCACACCTGTAAGTCCCAGCACTTGGGAGGCTGAGGCCAAAGGATCCCCTTGAGTTTGAGGCCAGGCTGGGCTATATAGTGAGACCAAGTCTCAAAAAAAAAAGAGAATGGATTGTCAACAAATAAACTGACTAGTTGAATACTGGTTGAAAAACTACATGCTCTGTATTTATGTTGCCTTTTACATAACTCCCTTGTGGTACCAATTTAATGTGTCTTGGCTCATTAGTTATTGAATTGAAAGAAATCCAAACTTACATTTCTGTGATCTGCCTAGTGAAATAGTTAGGTCCTGGCTAATTTGACCATTTCTTGTTTTAAGTGGCTGCCAGTTCATTGGTAGTCCTATTTAACCTTTCTTTGATATATACTGTCAGTACAGACTCACTTTTATTTCACAGGATTTCACTAGTGCTTCTGGTGACTTTTCTAAATTTTCTCTTTCAGTAGGTTTTTAAGGTTTTAGGGCAAAAAAAAAAAGTGTTTTCAGGCATGTAGGGTTAGGATTAGATACTGTATTCCTTAATCCTGGATCTATTTGCATTCTGGTGTTTTTTTTTTTGTTGTTGTTGTTGGTTTGTTTTCCAAGACAGGGTCTTGCTATGAGTTCAGGCTGGCCTTGAACTCATGGCAGTCCTCCTGCCTCAGCCTTCCAAGTGCTGGGATCACAAGTGTGCACCAAAATGCCCGGCTGCATTGTTTAAGCCAGTATGCTCTCAGTAGAAGTTGTCACGTATTGCTGTTCCTTCCAGAGCTTACCAGGGTGTATTCAGTGCTTTGAGTTTGCTTAGTTACTTGAGAGAAATCTTCTTTAAAGCTGAGGGTTGTCACCATGGAAAAATGAACTCCTTCCAGATTTCTTTTCCAGAATGTCATTGTTGGATATGTCATACAGCCAGGAACATACTGTTCCAAATGTATTAAAACTGGTTCAGAACTTAGTTTCCTTTTCTAATATAAAATAGGGATATGGAAATAATTGTTAGTGTCATGGTAATTCATGAAACTTTCAAGACACAAATAGGGGTTTATTGATAGGATATATATTTTGCATTTTTTCTTTAAATGTTTTCCTTTTTCGGAAAACAAACTGATCAAAGCTATGCATTCTAACAATAACATCAAAAAAGATACAACATAGATTGTTTTTGGTAAGCTTCCAGTGTCCTTCATACTTTTTTACCTGCCCTATTTTCTCATTAGTGATCATTTCTTTTGATTGGCCATCTCTGTTGGGGTGTGTGTGAACTGCTAGTGTTTGATATGCAACAGTCTTCTTTTCTATGGAGCGCTCTTTGATGATTCTATCATTTCTTTCTGTCTACCTTCTCTGAACTATTTAGGTCTTTAACCACATAGCTTATAACATTTACATGTTTTTTTTTACCAAATAAATTTTAATTTTGTTTTATAAAAAAACCTTATGTTTTATTCTCCTTCCAGAAGTACACTACAGCACACACTGATTATGTATCATCTCAAAGTTAAGTCTTCTTGCCAAAACCATGTTCTTATTTTAGAGATATGAATTTCAAAAGAATTTTTCTTTCCCAAGTTTCAGCACTCACAACAAAGAACCTTCATGACCTTTGGATGTACTAGGTCCAGAGTAAATCTGGTTGAATGGGTTTCTCAGTAACCATACTCTTTTTAATGCTTAGCACACAGGGAAACAATTCAGAGCTTAGCTTAGGCATTGCTATTTATTACTTATTTGGAGCAGTATGGAGGCCTGGGGACCTCATTCTTCACCAGGAGCACAACAGATTGAGAAAGAGCACAGACTGGAGTCGGGCTGCCTGGGCTCTGATGTGAACTCATCTCTTGTCACTTTGAACTCTCTCTTGTAACTCTGCCTCAGTGTCTGTGAGATAAGGGTGCTCATAATACTTAGCCGATGATTTGTTGGTATTATGTGTATATACATAAGTACACAATTGATAATTGATATTATGGGGCTTAATTGATATTATGTATTTATATGCGTGCTATTTAAAAGACTTCTCAGTGCTGTGGAAGTTCTTCATAATCTTGTTTAGTGGTAGTGGAACAGTCTGGACTTTCTGAGAACTGTTGTTTTACTTGTCGTGTCTTAGCATGGAGGCAGAAGACTTGAGATCAGAAGGTAAGGATTTGTACCTCGGCTCCATCACTTGCTTATTCTCGGTCTCAGAAGCTTATGCCTCATTTTATACCCTGCCAATCTGGAAAGATTGTTTTCAGATTAGAAAAGAAATAGTACACGTAAAAATACTTCATAAACTGTTAAGTGCTAAATAAATATGAATATTGAAATGATTGGCTGTTCATTAAAAAATTTAAAATATTGTGAATGCCTATAGTAAAGACCTGTGTCTGACTGTTAAAGTACCTGAATCTGTGAGTAGATATGATAAATTCATTTTTGTTTGGGAATAGAAAGTTTTTTAGTGGCTAAAATTTACTCCCAGGTGTATATGCTTATTTTAAAATTGTACACACTGGCTTCATAATAAAGCTATATAACATGTTTGGTGGGAAATGCTGTTATGTCTGACATTATTCTTATAACATTTTCAGGCTTGAAAACACAATGGCGGGAAACAGCCTTGTTCTACCCATCGTTCTGTGGGGCCGCAAAGCACCAACACATTGCATTTCAACAGTACTTTTAACAGATGATGGGGCCACAGTCGTAACAGGATGCCACGATGGACAGATATGTCTCTGGGATCTCTCAGTAGAATTGGAAGTGAGTATTTGAAATGTCTTATGTACATCTAAAGATAAGAAGAAACTACTTATTAGAAATTTATACATGGGGAGTTGGAGATGTAGCTCAATTGTAGAGCTAGCCTAGCAGGTGCAAGGCCCTGGGCTTGATCCCCAGCCCTAGAAAAAAAAAGTTACATTTATTGTACTTGGATTAATACTGCACAGTATGTTTTGATTAAATCCATAGTGTTCAGATTGGCTACATTATTCATCAGAATTCATGTCTGCTGGCTCTTGGCAATTCTCAAATATAATATCTACCCTAAGTGGTTTACTTTTAAATTTTATTATTATTATTTTTTTTGTCTTTTTGAGTCAGGGTCTTGCTGTGCAGTTCAGGATGGCTTTGAGCTCACTTTGTAGCCCAGGCTGGTCTCAAACTCACAACAGTCCTCCTGCCTCAGCCTCCGGACTGCTGAGATTATAGGCATACACCCCCACATCTGGCCTACCCTAAGCGGTTTAATGTTTGTTACATTTAGAATATTTTGAAAGATTCTGACTCATTCTTCAGGAGATTTCCAAGAAAACATTAAAAACAGTTTAAAACATTGATACCTGGCTGTTATATTGCATATTGTTGTCTTCAGATTAGTTGTTCAGATTACCAGCTATAAACATGCAAAATCAGTCAAAAAAAAAGAGATTTAAGCATTAACTGTTCCTTTCAATAAACCAATAGACATCAGCACTTCGATTATCCTAGCAATCCTTGTATATACATATATATTTTTTTGTGTTCCTTTCTTCTTTCTCTTCTCATTTCCTTCATTCCAGTTCCTTCCCTTTGAACAATTTCTGTTCCCTTTCACAATATATATTGTACCTTTCAGGTTTTATTTACTCTTTCAAATTCTTACACTAGGGAGACAATATGATGTTTACACATGCGGTATGATTTATTTCACTTGTGAGTATGGTCTCTAGTTGCATCCATTTACCTATAAAAGCCCCAAGTTTATCTTTTTTATAGCTAATACTCCATTGTATAAAAATACCATATCTTTTTTATCCATTCTTCAGTTGATGTATGTTTGGGTTGTTTCCCAGATTTAGCTATGACAAATTGCACTGCTATAAACGTGCGTGCACATATATTGCTGTGGTATGATGTTTTCAGTTTTTCTGGAAAAATACCCAGAAGGGGAATAGCAGAGTTGAATGGGACCTCTAATCCTAGTTCTGTGAGGAAACTCCACACTGATTTCCATATTGGTTATACCAGTCTATACTCCCACCAACAGTGGAAAAGGGTTCATTTTTGGTTGATTTCTTGATGATGGCTATTCTTTCTGGGGTGAAATGAAATCTCAGTGTTGTTTTGATTTGCATTTCTTGAATGACCAATGATTTTTCATATATTTATTTGCTATTTGTGTTTCTTCATCTGAGAAGTGTGTATTCATCTCAGATGCCCATTTTTGGATTGGGTCTTTGAATTTGGGGGGCCTGATTTTTTAAGATTCTGTATATATTTTTGATGGAAGTCTTTTTTCTGAGGAACAGTTGGCTAAAACTTTTTCCAATTTGCACATTTTGTTTTTACTTTGTTGGTAATTTCTTTTGATGTGCAAAAACTTTTCAATAAGAGGAGGTCCCAGTCATTGAATCTTTGAAGTATTTCCTGTGCAGTTTGGTTTTTTCAAATTTTAACACTCCTTTGTTTGAAGATTATTTTGGCTCTTTCAGGATCACTTGAATTTTCATTCAAATTTTAGGATCAGCTTGTCAGTTTCTACAGAGAAGCCAGTTGGGTTTTTGACAGGGAGTATATTGAATCTGGATCAGTTTGGGGCAGTATTGCCATGTTAAGTCTTCTATCTTAAACACAGAATATGATTCCATTCATTTAGATCTGCAGTTTTTAGAACAATGTTTTGTAGTTTTCAGGGCATAAGTTTTATACTTCTTTAAATTTATTTCTAATAATTTAATGTTTTGAATTAGTAATAATTAGTTATTCAGTTTATCTTTTTTTCCAGATTATTCATTGCTGGTGTTAGAAATATAGTTGATTTTTGTTCATTGAATTTGTATCTCACAACCTTCTTGGATTTGTTTATTAGTTCTAATAGTGTTTTAGTGGATTCCTTAGGATTTTCTATATACAACGTAATGTCATCCTTAGATTGTGAGAGTTTTACTTTTCCTTTCCAGTCCAAATGCCTTTTCTGTCATTTTTCTCCCATAATGGTCCAAGATAGAACCTGTAGTGTGATATTTAATAGACACAGTGAGAGTGGATATCTTTGTTTAGTTCCTGACCGTTTTTTTGTTTGTTTTTTTGTTTTTAAGACCAGGTGTCATTATGCAGTTCAGGTTGGTCTTGAACTCACTGTGTAACCCAGGCCAGCCTTGAGCTTGGTGTGATCCTTTGCCTCAGCCTCCCAAGTGCTGGGATTACAGGCATGTGCCACCAAACCTGGCTTTGTTCTTAATTGTAGAGGGAAAGAATTCAGCCTTTGACTTTCAAATATGATATTAGCTGTGTTTTTTTCATTGATATCCTTTATCCAGTTGAGCTAATTCCCTTATGTTCCTCCTTTGTTGATTTTTTTTTTTTTTTATTATGAAGAGTTGTTGGATATTGTCAAATGCATTTTTTGTATTTATCAAGATGCAGTTTTGTCTTTTGTTTGATAATGGTGTTCCTGTTTTTTCAGTGGTGGTGTAGCTGTTTGTATCCTGAAGGGGCTGAAAATGAACATTGGTGATTTTTGAGAGGCAGTTGAAATGAAGTTTACAGACGCGAGGGGGTGGAATCTAGTGGTAGATTGAGAAGTTTTCCTTGATAAAAGGAACAGACATTAATTGGTATAATAGAGAAGCTTGAGTGTGTAGTTGCACGTAGGTTGGTTGTTCTTTTGGTAGAAACATGAACGGGTGTTGTTGCTTCCATTGTTTTTCAGGAAAATATTTAAGGTCCTCAGTTGAAAGTGAGGCTAGGGGCAGAGCTGCTGGAATTTGAGGAGAGAGGAGCTGTGTGGTGAGTACCCGATAGTTTGGAGCATATAAATGGACTAGAGAAATGGGGTAGGACTGCTGGATAGCACTCAGAGACCCCTTGATATTAGATGTCATTAACTGAACATGAAAACAGGCAGATAGTGTATTATTTTTTTCCCAACCGCCTTCAGTTTCTTGTGTATAAACCCAGGCCAATCTGAGAGCCGATTTAACTAGTGTGAGGTTTTCTTGACAGACCTAACAAAGGGAGGGACTTCACTTAGGATGTGAGTGTGCAGGGCAGTAGTTAAATTAGATGAGGGATAGTGGTCAGTGCAGTGGTGGTAGGATGGATTCGTTAGAGTTTTTTGTGGGGGTGAAAAATTGTTGGAGTTGAGAGGTAAGATGGAGTGAGTTAGAATGGTAAGAGGTACTGGCTGGTGAGAGATATACTTGAGTAAGATTGTAGAGGGATTCATTTATTTTTTTTTTTCTTATTTTTATGTTTTTTGAGGTACCGGGAATCGAACTCAGGACCTTGTGCTTGCCAGGCAGGTGCTTATGCCACTGAGCTATATCCCCAGCCCTGAGGGATTCATTTATTAATAATGATCATGGAACTGGAAGGCAGTAACAGTGGGGCATATGTAACTGTGAGGTCATTAGAAACAAGAAGGTTAGGGAGTGAGAGTTTTGGGTGCTCCGAGGTCGTCTGAAGATATAAATTACCTGGAATTAAGACAGCAGGTGTAGTGGAGACTGAGACAGTGAGCCGAGTGTCAGAATCTTCAAGGAATGAAAGCGAGTGATCTGAATGTTTGTAAGAATGCAGTAAGGTAACTGCTGATCAGTGTATGATACAGAAATGCTAAGGGCTGTATTAGAGGAGGGACAGCCAGGAGCTGTAGAGGGGAGAATGAGGAGCAAAGAAGAAACTTACTCTTCCTCTAACCATTGCATTACTTGTGATGTAGGAGAAGCAGCCACTCCTTGAGAAAGTGTCAACAGAAACTATCCCCAGAGCACTTCCAGTTTTGATTAGAGCAGGAGTACAGAAAGCAATATTCAGAAATGAGGTTGAGACTGTAGAGGGTTTTGCTGATCATTGCATCTGTGTTCCAAGGGAGCGTGGAGGAGGAATTGGGAGGACATACGATTGGATCACGTTAGGTAGTGTACAGAGCATGTGAGAATTTATATTGACGAGTCGTACTTAGTAAGCATGCAGTTAAACCCAGAATCATTAATTTAATAGTAATTGCCATTTGAGTTCTAGGCATTTGGGTTACAGAGATAAATGTAGCATGTTTCTTGTACTTGAGCTTAGCCTAATGCAATCAGAAAACTAGAAAAAAGGTACCACAAACTTCACTATATAAAGGCTAGGTATATAAGTTGGAAGTAACTGGAAATCCTAATAGGCCTTTGGGATTGATAACAATTAAATACGAATCATCAATGTACTGTTGAAGGAGAAAAATCACACCACATTATACTGGAGTGCTTACAAGGAGCAAGATGATCTGAGAGATCTCAGAACAGTTCTTTCACTGGATTTTTTTGCATGGATTTTATTAGAATGTTCTATTTAAATTCAAGTCAGAGGGACTAAAATGACCACATAAAAGTGGGGAGTGGGATGGGGATTAGGAGAGAAGTATATTTGTAAGATGTTAAAGGAATCCATTTACTCAGGAGAAAAAAAGACTACAAAAATTTGCTGGCTTTTGGTGTATGTGGTGGGTCCTTTTAAGTACCATGCTTTCTAATGCTAGCTGTACCTGTTGACATTCAGAGGGGCAGTACATCCTGCTGTCTTTCTGTGAAAGGGTTCAGGATGTTAGCTGAAACTTTTGCCATTTGTATTTTGGTCTCCTCTTGTCTGTGGAAAAGGGCAGAAGCTTTGTCTAATCCCGCAATGGCATTGAAATGTGTGAGAGAAATTGCAGAAGCAGTAGTTTAGCGAATCTCTAGAGAGATGGTGATAATCTAAAGATTTAAACATTGTCTCCTACGTGTGATATTTATTAA